CTTCCATCGCTGAGATTAACTATGATTAGATTCTAGAATTCCTAATTCCTATGCAAACTCTAACAACCTAAAAAGCATTATAGTTCAGGTTCGATATGTTCACAAAATTACTAATCCAAATTCCTTTGCAATCAGTTATTTTGCTCATCTAAGAAAGTTCTGGTGATTAACAATGTTTCCACATCTATTAACAACCCAAGATCTGATTTCTAGGTGATCAATCTTAAAACCAATGTTAAAGCAATCAAGATGAAGAACCAAATGATTTTTTCCTTCAGTTTTGTAGTTCTAACAATTTATTATCAACCCTTGAATAACCTAAAACCTAACTAGCAGATTACTCATACATAGCAAGTGAAACACAAATCATGACTGAATAATATTGCATTAAGAAATAGAGTAAAATATGAAAGGGTTCGAAATTCTTCTCTACAAAGTATGGATTTGTTTCCCGAAAGCTCTCAATCTAATCTCTCTCTTAGTCTCAATAAAAACAAGATGATTGCCTAACAGTGGCTTAGAAAACCTAAATACAAGTCTAAACACGAACTGGGGCAATACTGCAAATAATCAGAAACTTCTGGGCCAAGTTGCAAACTCTTCAAAAGAGTTTTTAGTACTCTTTGCTCATCCACGATCGGTGTTGATCGACACCAAGAGGTGGGTGTCGATCGACACCCTTCTTCATAATGCTCTCCGACTTGGTCTTTACAGCATCAGCTTCAACATAGCTTCAAAAGGCTTCAAAACTCACAGTTATGCTCGAAACGTACCTAGACCTGCAAAGACTCTATAGGACTCGAAAAATACCAAAAAGACTCTATAAACAAAACTTATATCATGGTCAAAAACCAGCAAAAACTATGATATATCAGTGGTTCATCATGATGCACCTTAATCTCATCAAACAAGACAAGTATACAATCACCATCAAAGGCTTCACCATCATATTTATTGTGGCCAGGAGGGTCTTCATCTTGTTTCAGCACTTCAACCTGGAATCCCATCAACTGTTCCATGATGTTAGGCGGCTTCATAGCAATATACTCAAGCTTGGCTTCTATCTTCATTCTAAACTTTGAGTAGACTATCATTTGAGCTTTTGTAAAGTGCATTGTGGGTTAATGAATTGGTTTGTAGGCTTGAACCTCTGCAGCTTTACCGTTCTCATTGTTGCTTGAAGAAGTCCCCACTTGGCGTTCATACGGCTCTTTGAAATCTTCAGGACTTTCTTTAGCAAGAACCATCAAAGCATGGTATGTTTCTACAAGCTATGCTTTAGCTTCTTCTTTAGGTGCAACCAAGGCTTTCTCAGCCTCTTCCTTCTCAGCCGCTTCCTTTTCAACCTTTTATTTTTCTAAAGCAAGCTCCTCTTCTCTGTCCAAACTTTGAAGGAACTTCTCAACAATGTCCACAACTTTTTGATCATCAATGGTGATTTTTAAGACATCTCCCCCACGCCTAGATTCCTCCATATCCCTATGGAGTAACAGCTCTTGAAGCATAATACCAAGATCTTCCAATGAAACATCTTCATCATCACTCAAATCTTCATCCTCTTCAGGAATCAAATGGCAGATCTTCTTGGCTTCTATCTTCTTTGTCACAACCGTGGCCTCACCCCTTTCATCTTGAGCTGAACTCTTCGGCAAAGTATATCCCTCACGCTTAGTTTCAATGTCCACATTGATCTTCTCAATAGAGCTTGGAGTCTTGAACATTTCATGTGGCCCATAGAGTAGTTCCTCAATCTCCTTAGTGGATGCTTCGGCTTCTTTATTGAAGGCTATGTCCTTGTCATGCTGAGAAAACCTTGTGTGGCCGTTTTGCTCATCTTTGTTTAATAGAGTACAAGGCTGGTGGCTTGGCACACTCTGAACATCATCTTTGTAGAACCGTGGAGGGCTTCTCATAGGGTCACTTTGCGCATTGTAAGCAAAACTCTGCTTGTAGCTATGTTGGCTAGGACCATTGTAGACATTAGCAGGTGCAGGTAGTTGTCGTAAATAGCGGCTGGACCATTAAATGCTATCCCTTTCCTCTTTTGTGTAAACATTGTAGCGTTCTGTATCTTCCATTGTACCTGAAATGAAAACAAAGAAAAAGTAAATTAGTACTGAAATTAAAAGCTTGGACTAAACAAGTATTCAAACTCCAATACACTAAACATCCAACTAATGCAAAGGCTCCAAATTGAAGAAGGACTTTTTAAAGTCTCAATTCAATATCTCTCTAATCAGATGTAGTATATATGAGTTTTATCAATCCTTTGTAGGGATATTGTAATGAAGAGGCTGAAGTTTGTTAAGCCAAGCCAAAAAGAGGTTTAAAAGGTCAACCAACCAAGTAACACAAGCAAGAAAACTAAAGAGCTTAAAAGTAAACAAGGTGAATGCAATAATGAGCAAGAAAAACAGAGCAAAACAAGGAAACCTACTAAACAAATTTAAAATTTAAAAGCAATGTTCAAGGCTAAGGCAATGATGATAGGGTAATCCATTGTTCATGATTAAGGTGATCAAAACAACCAATTCTAAACACTTAACTTTAGGTAAGGAAACACTATTGTAGATATCAATCCCTTTGACTCAATGAATTTCAAACCATTTTTGATGGTATATTTACAAAGAACAAGCATTAATCACAAGTTCCATATAACCAAAAAGAATCATGGCATCTAATTTTCTTAGGCTAGTTCTATTACTCTCTTGAGCAATGGTTCAAACTTCTACTCACACTTTTGATGCATAATAGAAATCTAAAAAAAGTTCCACCCGTGTGGTCATAAGCTTTAAACATAATCAAGCAAGAGGTAAAGATGCAAAGATATAAGATCATTTAAACATCAACGTCATGAAATAAAACATTTAGGAATTTCATCAAACACATAGAGTGCACATAAAATCCTAACATTTGCTTATCCTTCAAAGAGGTCATAGATATTAAGCACAATCACACAAGAAAGGGAATGAGGAGACCTAAGTCATAAACACCTTAATCAATCACAAGAATCACCCCATCTGCCTTAACCTTAAACCAGAACGAAACTACTCCCTAAGAATAACTAAAGGCACGAAAATAACACAGATAAGCAAGATAAACATGATTAAGAACTAGCAAAATAGATATATGTAAAGAAAATGCAAGATTTTATAAAAAAGACGATCTTTGTTTAACAAATCCCAAAACTCTCTCTCTTGTTCTTCACAAGCTCGAAAATAAGGATAAGAAACAAGATAAATGCTTAAAAGATAAGCCAATAGCTTATAAAGATGAAAGGATAAGGTGTGGCTAAAACCAGGAAAAGTTGGTCAACAGGATAACGCATATCAGGCAGATATGGAAGATGTTTTGCTCGATGCAGTTGGCTGATGCAGTTTTTCTCTGTTGCTCCAGAAGTCTTTTGTCGGTTTAGCACGCACCGGGCAGGCTTGCCTGGGTTTTGCTCGATGTTCTTGCCCAGTACAATAGCCTGGTGAACCCTGTGTAGCTGAAGTCGGTATATCTCTTGAACCGCAGATCCAAATGACATGATTCGACCACCATAGAAAAGCTATTCGGATCCTCTAAAACTTCATGATGAACGTGGAGCCTGAATCTGAGTGTAAGGGCCTCGTCCGGACTGATCTATAACTTGCAGTCCTGTTGAACGGAGTAAAGACCTCGATGTGGGACCTCAGTGTAGCTTCTAAACAGCTTGGTTTCATTCTTCTTGCATATTTCTTTGACTCCAAATCATCCTCCATCCTGCAATAAGTCTCCTTAGTCTCAAAAACACCTGAAACACACTTCAATATGCAAATGTATGCAATCTTACACTAAATGCATGCATGGCTACTTCTAAATGTAAATAGGACTAAAATGATAAGAAATAGTGCAAGAACAAGATATATTATGTATAAAATGCAGCTTAAAACACTATAATATAGCAAGCTATCAGTACCATTCACTAGTTTTGTTTGCCCATGTATTTAAAAATAACAATGAGTTGAAAACAATAGATTTATACCCAACTTCTTCCAAAGCATCTTCCAGAACTGAATGAGGAATTTGTTACTTTTAGACAAAATTATTTTTGAAATCCCATGTAAGTGAACCATTAATTTGAAGTTGAAGAATAGACTGATAGTATAATTGGCATCATTTATTTTGATTTTTGGCACGAAAAATTAAAAGTGCAAATTTTTGAGAATTTGTCCACGACCACAAAGGTTGAATCTTTGTTTTGGAGTTTAACCACTTTTTCATTGGTGGTTGTTTGCGAAACGCTTCGGATAATTCGTGTTTTGCACTCCTCTTCTTGTCTCGACTTAATAAAAGATTTTTTTATTCACTACATATAATATTTTAACAACGAGAAACAGAAAACAAAACTCAGGATTTTTGGCATTGGTGTCTTACCTTCTCCAGGATGTATCATCCTTCTTCACATAGCAAAATTATGATAATGCTTATATAATAAGATCCAAAAGTAACAGTCGGTGAGACTTTTTATTGTCTTTAGTCTTTACCGTATAGTTTTATTCGTTTTTTTTTTAAATTCTTCACAATCTATATTTTAATTCTTCCTCTTTTATTTCCCTCAATATCACATCAAACTGAATGGCCTTTCTTGAATAGGTTTTAGTGCTGATCTAGAGTTCATTCAAACTCAAATCTTGCTAAAGGAACCGATAAATCATCTGCTAATTAAGTTATCCATAACATTTTCTTGATAACTTGATCTAGAGTTCAAAATTTTTTTTTTCCCGATGAAACAGAATGACCTCTACTGTTTTGATCAACAGCTAATTTAAGAAGTCTTGCAATTTCTACAATAATAATTTGCTTATGAGCCGATAGATTTTGTTATTTGATATTTACATAATTATTAACCATTAACTTTACATAATTTCTTATTGCAAAAAAAAACTTTACATAATTTCAATTTCCATGACAATAATAAAAGACTTATTTACATGAAAAGCAATCAATAAACCTATTACCACACTTTGCATAGTTTACCAGAAGCTAAGTTCAAGAGCTTCTTGGAAATGCTTCTCCAGTAGATCGCCATAGAGCTTGCTGATACTAACGGCAGAGCCATCCTCACCGTCCGATGACCTCCACGGCAAAAGAAGATCAGAAACACGCATTGACTTAACGGCAGGCGGTGATGGAGACTGGTTTGTCGTCCTTTTGTGGCTAAGAAGAGGATGCGAGAGTATGAGCATTGCAGCTGATGGCGCCATTTATGGCTCACAAAATCTTTGAACTATAAAGAATTTTTTTGAATAAGCTTGTTTCAAACTGGATTTTGGATACCGGATATGGCGCAGCGTACGAAGTTAGTTTCAGCTCAACTAGAAGGTTACCGAACTTCTAGGACCTGCTTCTAATCAATCGATGTCAAGAGAAATCGAAGACTAGGGTTTGAGTTAACAACTCGTTTTCTTATTAATCCAAAAGCTACATATTCTAATAGAGAAACAATAACTTAAATACGAGATCTCATTAGGTCACAACCGACCTTCCAAGACGTTAACCTAAAGCCCAATATCAAAGTAGAAGAATTACTTAGTTAACTAAAAAAAGCCTACAATACTTAGAACTTAAAGATAGAATAGTTACATGACGTTTACGTCACATAATCACTAGATGCAGCTGTATCAGGTCCCTCTGGGTTGGAAAGATTCAACCTCGAATCGCAAAGTGTGTGAGGTGAAACAAGGCAACGCTGATGAGAATCTGCTGCATCTTTGTACTTGAAAGAGGATGCTTCAAGAGGTCCTTGAGTTTCTTCATGAATCCGAGTGATATCACCAATAAAATCAGCGGACATAGTAGTTGGTATAACTTCAGAATGTTGTCTAGTAAGAGAATCCACGACAAACTCTGAAGCACACATTGGCATCTCCAAAGGAGCTTGCTGCAATACCAACACATGATTAGAACTAGGCGTATGCTTCTCTGGGACCGAAGGTTGTAAGGTGAAGGCACGATTATCAAACTGAAACGTGTAAGTGTTTAAGAACCCATCATGTTGTATTTTCCGATCAAATTCCCTAGGCCGACCCAATAGAAGGTGACACGCATCCATAGGCACAACATCACACAAAATTTGATCTTTGTGAGCATTTTCAATGGAAAAAGAAATTAGTGCACGATGTGTAACCTTCACGTTCGTTCCTTGTTGTAGCATGCGAGTTTGTATGGCGATGGATGAAGTTCCGTTGCAAGAGATAACTTATCAACAGCATCTGCCGCTATAACGTTTTCACAACTCCCAGAGTCAATGATAAACTTGCAAACCTTGCCTGCAATAGTACAACGAGATTGAAAAAGGTCGTTGCGCTGAGGGTAATCATATGTAGCACGCGGAGTTAAACACAAGCGACATAACATCAAGAGGAGACCCGTGTCCGCAACAAGTTCCTCCGTACTCTCCTCGGCATTCACAACTTCTACGTCATTCCTAAAGGTATCAAGGAGAAGGCCCTGATTATTACGTTTTGGACAAGCAGATTGGCGATGACCCACTTCACCACATGAGAAACATCGAATGGAGCTTGGACGATTCGAACGTGCAGCATCAAAAAGCACAAGTGCAAGATCTGATTGAGTAGTTGTAGGTTCGATGGGCATTGGCGGCGATGATGGTGTAACTGGATTGCGAGCTGGGCATGACGAACTCCATGCTGAGAAGTTACCTTTCGTTTGTGCTTCTATCGTTAAGGCTTGTTGATGAGCTTCTGCTACAGTCAACGGATGAAACAAATTCAGTGTATGTTGGAGTTGCTGTCGCAAACCACTGATGAAGCAAGCCACCACTTGCTGCTCGGTGTCTTGTAGACCAACACGTGTAAGGAGGAGAAAAAATTCAGTAGAATATTATTCAACTGATCTCGTGCCTTGACGAATTGTATGTAGTTTTTGAAACATCGATTGCTCATAGTTGAATGGGAGAAACGTCTTCTGCATCTTTCGCTTCAATTTTTCCCATGACATGATTTTAGATTTGCCTTGACGTATACGAGATGCTTTCAATTGAGTCCACCAAGCTGCAGCTCGATTACGAAAACGCATCGTGATTACCGGAACACAGCGATCTAATGGAACACGTTTGAATTCAAGCACCTCTTCTACTGTAACAAACAAGTCGAGGAGTTCTTCAGCTGCTTGTCCTCCATTAAATTCAGGTAGCTCGGATTTAAATCCTTGTTCCCAACGCCAAGCTTCTTGATTCTGTAGGGGATGATGCTCGTTGTTATTGGCAAAGGGATTCTCTTCCCTGTCGTCACCGTCGTCATCGTTCGGAAGGACGATGTTCTCCTCGGGGAGCACACGCCGAGCAAGAGACTGCACCACCGTGGTGAGCTGTTGCATCTGTTCTTGAAGGCTGGCGAGTGTCTGTCTCGTGAGTTCCGCTTCGGTGGGTGGGGTTACTTTCTTCGCGCGTGCCATTACGACAACTTCGTGGGTGGCTCTGATACCAACCTGGCGCAACGTACGAAGTTAGTTTCAGCTCAACTAGAAGGTTACCAAACTTCTAGGACCTGCTTCCAATCAATCGATGTCAAGAGAAATCGAAGACTAGGGTTTGAGTTAATAATTGGTTTTCTTATTAATCCAAAAGCTGCATATTCTAATAGAGAAACAATAACTTAAATACGAGATCTCATTAGGTCACAACCGACCTTCCAAGACGTTAACCTAAAGCCCAAAATCAAAGTAGAAGAATTACTTAGTTAACTAAAAACGCATACAATACTTAGAACTTAAAGATAGAATAGTTATGTGACTTTTACGTCACGGAATAACTAGATGCAGCTGCATCAGCATATGTATGTGTCAAATATATATCAATAATTGGTGTGGGACTGATAGACATGCAAGAAAATTAATGATAGATGAGAGTAGTTTTCTATGGGAGCCGCTGGATTGATTAGACGGAAATAATCAAAAGGCTAAACATAAAGAAAAATAATTATGTGGTTTAACAAGTCTAACTTGTGTCAAAACTATTTAACGTAGGCGTTGCACGCGCAATCCCTATGGGCGAAACCGTCTCTGATTTTTATATATATTATTTTTTACCTTAAAAATCCTTTCATTTTTAGATACATTTTGTTTTAAACAATTTTGAAGTTGATTATACATTTTGCAAATATAAAACGTAATGATTTAGCCAAAGTATAGAATTACTTATTACGTGGTTGGCCCGCACTGATGTAAGACTCAAGCCTAGTTCAATTAAACCAGCCAAACAATGGAACCTTGGAGCTAATGATAGTGCAGAACAGCTTGTAGCTGTGGAGAAAGGAGGCTTTGTAGCTAAGGATGGAGCAGCTAAGGACTTAGCTATCAAACGACATCACTCTATACATCAAGAGGGACGTTTTGGTCGAGCTAAATACCCACTGGTTCGAATTAAATCAGAAGATATCTCACCAAAACCGCTGAAGCTAACTGAGGAGCTAATTATGGAAACTTCGCATATACATCCTCCCAACATGATATGCGACCGACCATCATTTTTTACTGGAGTTAATCAACGTCCTAAACCACCAGAAGGAGTCAATAACCACGCTCAATCATGCCAAACCAAAGAAGAACCGCCCATTTCCTTACATGGACCCATTGGAGCATTATTTCATTCATACAAGGAAAACTCGGATATATGTCATTCAGAGACATTATATTCGCCCCACACCACTTCCACATAAGCTTACAAGAGCCTTAACACACCAGAACCATTCATTAATCGCCCCATTCCATCAGAAGACAAAGAAGACTACATTAAGGAGAAGCTTTCCTCATTTGAAGATCATAACTCATATCTAATCAAGTCTGAAGATCAACGACCAGCTTTACTACTTAATCTCGGCCATTCATCACAACTAGACAATCCACTACATTCTTTTCACGCCAAGGAATCATCACAACCTCCCCATTCATTGCCAAAGTCAAGGATATGCACATTATAGCCTAATTGCTAGGAAAATGGAGCCAAGAACAAATCCCCTCTTTCATGCGTTTCTTTTACTTAGTTACCGTTTATTTTCCTTCTTTTGAGTATTATATAAACTCATTTACATTGTATTTTCAAACCACAGATTTATCAATCAAAGAAAGTTATTTTTGTTTCAAATAAAAGCACCTCTTTGCATACAAACTGTTCCTGCTTTTTATTAAGTTCTTTTTGAGGGATTCAAAGAACTTGTGAGAAGTGTAGAATCTCCTAAGCTCTTGTGAGGATTAGCCCTTGAGCTGAGAAGAATCTAATCCTTGGTGTTTGAGGTCATCAAGAATCAACAAGGCTACAAAACCATCAGTCTTTTCTTCCATTCTATCCAGCTTGAAGCAACAGATTCTAAGGCACATTCCTTGAAGCAATTTGAGGCTTGTATCATGCACGTATATGTTGATATAATTTTTTTTACAGACATAATTAATTATAATATTTAAGTATTGATTAATTTTCTTATACATTATGTAAATATTATATATATATATATATAGTTTTACTATATAACAATAATCACAAAAACGTTTTCTATCATTTTGTACTTTTTGAACCTGATATATTTTAAAAATATTTATTTTTTCTAACATTTACAGTGACATATAATTGTAAATATAAAAATTATATTAAATAATAATTTAAATTTTATAATATGCTTTGAATATTATATGTATTATGTTTTTTTCTTTTTACATAATATAATTTTGCCAATATATATTTTTTAAATATATACTTTTTATTAACTTATTGCTACTTAAACCAAAATAGGTTTGGCCATCTTTACTTATGCTATGATTTTGATGAGCAGGATTCTTATGAGCAGGAGATGAATTAAAATCCAGCTGCTTTTGAAGTTAAACACCAAAAAATCCAGTCTCTAGTTCACCCAATTCCAGCAGTGGCAGTGGATCAATCAGCTGTGATGATGAAAGTCTACCTAAACATTTCAGATCCCTCCAAGAGATTTATGATCTTCATCTTGCATTTTTCACTTCTGATCATCGAAATTTCAATGAGGTTGCAGAGAAAAAAAAACAGGTGAAAAGCTGTGGGTGAAGAAATAACATCCATATCACACTTGACAGATAATTGAGCTTCCTGAAGGGAAACACTCAATTGGTGTGTAGTGGATGTTTAGAATTAAGTATCACGAATATAGGAGCATTCCGAAGTATAAGGCAGACTGGCAACTAAGAGATATGTCCAAGAGTATGGAGTGGATTATAA